TCTGTATTCTGCTTTTGCTGAAGATCGAGCAACAACCAATTGTTTCTTGCTTCTCCAAGAAACAATATTACCAGCCACCAAGCTGCAATACCCAGAAGTAGATCTTCTGTCATCAATGTTTCCAGCCCAGTCAGCATCAGTATAGGCTTCAAGTTTCATATGACCAAGCTTGGCAAACAGAATTCCCTTTCCTAGGGAGCCCTTCAAATAACACATTAGTAAATTGCCACATTGCTAGTATGGTGAAATCCTTGATACAAGACCCTCATGCTCTCCTTACCTTCTAGGTGGAGGTGACCCACACTGCTATTCACTTCATCAACATTCTTCCTACATCTATGCTTGGGAATTCTTCTCCCAATCAATCCTTATTCCATCACCCACCAAACTTATCCATACTTCTTGTCTTTGGATGTATTTGTTTTGTCCATCTCCCTCCCCATAAACGCATTAAGCTAATAGTTCAATCAGCTATGTATGCATTCATGGGATATAGTACGAAACACAAGGGATTTCTCTGTTATGATCCCAAAGTCCATAGATTGCGCAAGAAAATGTCATATTTCTTGAGAACCTTTCATTCTTTGAACACATTAGTAAATTGCCTGCACCATCCATTTTTATTCTGCGTAACTTTGGCTCTACAGATGATTCCCCTCCTTCATCTCAGCCACTTCAGATTTATTCCAGGAAGCATCCAGTTCGCCCATCATTTATGCCTCCTCCACTTCCTGCAACAGTGATTGATCACTCCTCTCCATCTATTACTACTATAAGTACATGTTCTTATCCCGAGGATTTACCTTCCTCTATTCCTTTGTGCCGGTCATTTCGTATTTCCCGTCCACTTGATCGCTATGGCTTCTTTTCTAGTCATAGCTCCTTCTCAGTTGTTTTGTCATCCACAAATATTCCTAAGTCTTACAGCCATGCCGTAGCAGTTAAGCATTGGAAAGATAATATGGATTCAGAGGTTCATGCCTTATTGGAGAATAATACTTGGGAACTTGTCTCTCCTCCCCCATATGCCTCCATCATTGGTAGCCGATGGGTTTACACCGTGAAACTCAAATCAGATGGTACTCTGGACAGATATAAGGACCGTTTGGTTGCTCAAGGCTACAAACATGAGTATGGAATTGACTATGATGAAACTTTTGCTCCTATGGCTAAAATGACAACAATTCATTTGCTCCTGGCCATTACTGTTGTTAGACAATGGACAATTCACTAGATGGATGTCAAGAATGCCTTCCTCCATGGACATTTGCAGGAGATAGTTTATATGAAACCACCTCCTGACTACTGTAACAACCCTCTATTGGTGTGTAAACTAAAGAAATCTCTATATGGTCTTAAACAAGTTCCATGAGCTTGGTTTGACCACTTCTATACAAAAGTGTTGGAGGCTGGTTTTCAGCGGAGTGCTTCAGATTACTCTCTTTTTACTCTTAAGCAAACTCAGGAGTTGACTCTTCTTTTAGTTTATGTTGATGATATTCTTATCACCAGAGATGACGTGGATGGTATTAATAACTTGAAGCTTCTACTTAGTAACTCCTTCAAAATGAAAGATCTTGGGCTAGTGACCTACTTTCTTGGGCTTAAAATTCAAAGATGTCATCAAGGTTATTTTGTCAACCAACAGAAATGTGCCTCTAATTTGGTGAGTCTTGCTCGCTTAACTGACTCCAAACAAATTGATACACCTTTGGAGCTTAACTGTAAGCTCAGTAAGGATGAGGGTGATCTTCTCCCTGATGCTACTCTATATCGGCAGCTTGTAGGTAGTCTTATTTACCTAACCATGACTAGACCAAACATTTCCTATGCAGTCCAGATCGTTATTCAGTTTGTATCTTCTCCACATCAGCCTCACTTCTCTACAATTCTCCAGATTATTCATTATGTCAAGGGCACTTTATCGCATGGATTATTTTTATCATCTTCCTCCACTCAACTCCGAGCTTATGCAGATGCCAATTGGGCAAGTCGTCCTGACAATCATTGCTCAACTACTGGCTTGTGTATATTCTTCGGTGATTCCCTGATTTCTTGGAAATGCAAGAAACAACCAACGGATTCCAAGTCATCTATTGAAGTCGAGTATAGATCCATGTCCTCAGTATGCAGTGAAATAGTCTGGTTTAAGGCACTACTTCATGACATGGATATTGATCACGCATCCACCATTCCTCTATTTACTAACAACTAGACCTGTTCATGGGTCGGGCCGGGCCGGGCTTTTACTCTTCATGAATGGAAATTTGTTAGGCCCGAGCCCGAGCCCGGCCCGACCAAAGGGCCTACAACTTGGGCCCGAGCCCGGCCGATAAAAAGCCCGAAGCCCGAGCCCGATCCCGAAGCCCGAGTTCGCGATGACTGTAAGCTGCGATTTCAACAGTGATTAGTTCACGTCTGAGAAAGAGAGAGAGAGAGAGAGAAAGAGAACTCACCGCCGCCACCGGTGCCTATATTCGCCACCTTGCCAGTGATTGTAAGCTGAGTTCACAATGTCTGAGATTTGTAAGTTGCGATTTTAACAGTGATCAGTTCGCATCTGAGAAAGAGAGAAAGAGAGAGAGAGAGAGAGAAAGAGAGAAAGAGAGAGAAAGAAAGAGAGGGAAAGTGAAAAGAGGAATGGTGAATGTTTGCCGCCTCGCCGGTTGTATGGCTACCTGAGAGTGTGAGGACTGAGGATTGAGGAGGATGTGAAGACTGAAGAGAAGAGAGGTTCAGTTGGAAAGAGGTGAAAGAGAAGAGGGGTTTGACTAGGGTTTTTTAACTTTAATCTATAGGTCGGGCCGGGCTATTTTGGCAAATCCCAAGCCTGGCTCAAATTTATTGCGGGCCAGGCTTTTTGGCCCAAGGTTAAGCTCGCGGTTTCTTTTGCGTGTTCAAGCCCGTCTGGGGGCCGGGCAGGCCCATGAACAGGTCTACTGACAACATGAGTGCAATAAAGATTGCATCCAACCCTCTATTTCATGAGCGTACTAAACATATTGAGGTGGATTGTCACTTCATTCATGACCTCCACATGGGTCACATCTCTCTCCCACATGTTTCATCTAGCCTATAGTTTGTAGATCTCTTCACCAAAGCTATGACCAAATCCTAACATAATTTTCTTGTGGACAAATTGATACTTAATACCCCAGCATCAGTTTGATGGGGAATGTAGAGAAGATAAAGGGTAGTTTTGTAATTCTACTGTATTTTTTTTATTCTTCTTTCTTGTACTATAATAGGCGTGTACATTAGTGTACAGTTCTTTTATTTCTTTGTAAGGACAATCTTGTCCATTCACTTAAGTTTAATATAAATACCTTTCTTTTGGGTTGGTTCGATCAGATTGATCAACCCTAACAGATCTGAACTTGTGTTTGTCTTCTTGCTCTTTCAACTTCTCACGAACTGACAATAACATCAACATAAAATAAAATAATACAATGATCGCATCTGATAAAATCCAGTTAAAATGCAATACTTGTGCATGTAGATGCATAGGTTCACACACAAATGCATATATCATCCAAGCAAGCATACATACACAAGTGGTTCAATGGTTGTACTCATAATATTTAAGTGGTTGTACATATATATGCATGTTACCTCTTTTTTATATGTATGGGGGAAAGGTAGAATAACAATGTAAGTTAGGCTTCTTGTCTTTGTATCGCCACCCTTTTCTGCTTTGTGGAGTAACCCTGTTGTTTTGCCATGTATTCATTCCACCTGTCATTGTCAACCATACACACCTTTTATTGGATCTATTTCCAAGTGATAATGGTTTTCCAAGTCTTCAATGTTATTCCTTTTTTGTTTAATTTAAAATTTGCCTGCAGAAAACTAGTTTATACTTCAGATTGGGCAAGTGGAAAGGATTTTTGGATTGAAGCTTGTACTACTTTCAGGCCCATAATATTCTACCACTATGGTCTTATTTTATGAAGCACCTATAAATTTTCATATTAGTGTTTCACCATTTCTTTTGTCTGTTGTTTATTTACAGTTGCCTAAAGCATTGGGAAAACTATATGGTCAATCAAAAAAATCTGGCAGGGGAGGTGTTCATGATAAGTGCATAAAGTGCGTTTTACTTGTAATGTTTTAATGGTCATATCCTCAATAATGCTATCTCTACATTTTTTTGTTTTCCCTTGGTCTTTCAAGTATTGATCATAACTCCTTGGAATTCTAGTTGTATTCTGCCACTAAAGGATGATGAAGAGAGTACTATAGTGAAGCGATTTAGCACTTCAGGTTAGCTAACATCTTTGGTTCTATTTTCTGGTTAGTCATAGGTAACACAGAAGCATGTTGCTGTTTTCATTTCACAGGATTGGATGGCAAAGTTGTGGTATGGGATTTGGAAAATCAAAAAGATATTTCTTTAAATTCCTGAAGCTGCCTCCTCACCGGGTCGAAGAGATCAATTTGAGACTATATTGAAAATTCCTTTGGCATGATATGATGCCATACCATGTTTTATGTTATTTTGTTTTAGTAGAAAAGCTTGGGGAACTCATATTAGTTAGAAGTGTACTGGAATTTTATCAGAACTTTAAATGATTAAGTTGTGAACACTTTATTTTGGTAAAGAAGCTTGTTTATCAAACAGGAATACCATGTAAATGAAATTTTGGGGTTGAATCTTCCAAATAGAGTTGGATCTCTATGGAGTATCCTGATAACTTGGGGATTTGAGATATCATGAAGATTTTTTAATGAGTGAGATATTATAGAGGTTGAGTTGTTTATTTCATCAGCAACTAGATTTGCTCCTTGAAATATATGTGTATATACTACCTTATGTGCATATACTGGAGTTCCTCCTGATAACTTGAAATATATGTGGATATACTAGGTTTTTATTCACCTTCATTCACGAGTAGATGAAAATATGATTTCATAAAAAAACTAGTTTTGTAAAGTTAGTTTCCACAATCAATTTTGCACCCAAAAACCTCCTCAAACCAAGAACAGAGTGGGTTTGGACTCTGCAAGCCAAAGTTTTTGCTTATAGAAAGCTTCTTTGCATGTTTGTGATGTGCCCATTGGGATGTTGGGGTAAAATAACTATAATCATTCTGTTGAACAACATAAAATAGCTTTTATACCATATTGAACAACATAAAATAGCTCTGATACCATGTCAACTAACATAAAATAGATAGCAAGCCAAGATGAAAATAAGAAGAAGGAATAGAGATAACACCAAGATCAACGTGGTTCAACTTGATAGCCTACATCCATGGGAGGAGAGGAAAAATATCCACTATGAGAACAAGAGATACAACTCTCTCTCTCTCTCTCTCTCCTCCTCAAAACCCTAATCTCACACAACCACTTGCTTAAATAAGCAAAAAACTGAAATATATCAGTATTACACATAAGCCTCTTTTTCTCCCATAAATGCATATAGGTCCCAACAATATTACAAATATACCCAAATACAATATATCTCTCAACACATTCTTTTATCATGGCGACAACCCAAAGTCTTTCCCTCAAACATTGACAAGAAAATATGAAAGTGCTTATAGTCTCATGGTTTTACTTCAATGGAATTTTTTTTTTCTTGTTTATGTCTACAAAATAAGAGTGTCTAGATGTCCTTGAACCTTGAATGGCATAATGTTGTCCCTCCCCCCAACCATACTGTGTCCAAATGTGCTATCTTCCTAATAAATCTCCCCAATTGTTTGTGTGGGACTCGAAAGAATGGAGAAGAGAAGGGAAGACGACGGATTTACATCTTAGATCATAATATATTCCTTGGAAATTCATTTGCTAAAGTGACAGTTGTTTTTGTTTTGAAAAACAAAACCCTTCATGTTGCCCAACACCACCTTTAACACCTGGGGTTAGACTAAAATGTGCTTCATTTTTCCTATATAGTACAGAAAACATTCCAGGAAGAATTCTCCAACTTCTCTCTTGAAACTTTACGAATAATTTCAAAATATATAGTCAAATATTACATTATACTATTAAGCTAGAACAGACCCAAGTGATGTACAAGTTGATAATAAGGATGCTCATATTCTATAAGGAAGTGATTAGATTCAGTTTTTCAGTAAAGGAAACTGAATGGCCTTCTAAAATAACTAATGGAAACTGAATTGGTTGTAGGTGATTTAAATAGCCCCATGTTTAATCTTTTATTTATCAAAAATTTCAAGAAAACACTAAATTTAGAGGAATCAAGGAAAGCTTAGGGGAGTTGTAATTTGAACAAACTCCCTTTTACACATACTAGTAAGTGTGCACATGCTTTGCACATTGGCAATGATGATAGTAAATAATATGTTTCCAACATTTTCTACAATTTTTTATATTACTATGTCTATAAAAACATTCTTATTTGTCACACTCATTTTTTATTTAATATGATGAATATACAATAATACGAAATGGGTGGTCTCCCCTTTGGCCAAATGGGAGTACTGCCATTATCGATTATAATTCTGTTATCTATTTATTTTAATAATTGTTGATTATTACAGTGATTTAATAAATATATAATTACTGATTATAATTAATAATTACTGTATAAATATTGTTAATAAATAGATATTTACTTTAATTTTACTTTAAATTAAAATTATATATACTCTTATTAATAAATATTATTAATAAATTACTGATTATTACAATAATTTAATAAATATATAATTAGTGATTATAATTAATGTTATTACAAATATTGTTAATAATTAGATATTTACTTTAAATTAAAGTTATAAATACTGTTAATAAATTTAGTAATTATTGTTATATTAAAAATAATTAAAAATGTTATTAAAAGTATTGTTATTGATTATTTAATAAAATATTATAATTACTAACTATTACTGATAAATAATTTTAATTCAATTTAATTTTGGTAATTATTAATTTAATGAATATTGTTAATAAATCCTATTCATAAATTTAATAAATACTATTATATTAAAAATAACTAAATAATATTACTAAACTATCATTACTGGTTATTTAATAAAATATTGTAATTACTTACTATTATTGATAAATGTTGTTAATAATGTTCTGACAACTGATGGTTCAACCATTCGGTTCAAATGGACGGCCTGTTCTAACAATAAAAATTACAAGCAAAAAATTACAAAACCATTTTGGCCACCGGTTTTTGGGTCGACAGTTCGATTCTTCGGTTCGAACGGATGGTCCGTTCTGGCAACAAAAATTATAGGCAAAAAAATGAGTGTGAGTGATAATCGACCGTTCAACCGTCCGATTCGAATGGACAACCCGTTCTGACAACAAAAATTAGAAGCAAAAAATTATGGAACCATTATGGCCATCGGTTTTTGAGTCAACAATTCGATCATCCGGTTCGAACGAACGGTCTATTCTAACAACAAAAAATTATAGGCAAAAAATTGAGTGTTTGAGGTCCATTAAGTAGTATCATACGCGTTATGTCATTCGAGCGCGTGGCTCATACAACCCGAAAATGGAACTGTTATGGCCATCGGTTTTTTGGTCGACGCTTTAACCGTTGGTTAGAACAGACGACCCATTTTGACAACAAAAAATTACAAGCAAAAAATTATGGTACCGTCCTGTCTACCAATTTTCAAGTCGACCGTTCGATTCGAACAGACGACCCATTCTGACAACAAAAATTACAGGCAAAACATTGAGTGTGTGAGGTCCATTAAGCAGTATTATACATGTTATGTCATTCGAGCTTGTAACTCATACGGCCCGAAAATGGAACCATTCTAGCCACCAGTTTTTGGGTCGATGGTTCGATCGTCCGGTTCGAACGAACAACCTGTTCTGACAACAAAAAATAAAAAAGAAAGGCCAAAAACCATTGAACGGGTCAATGGTTTGACAGTTTGACCACTTGGGTCAATGGGTCATTGGCCGATTCAACGGTTTTTTGCCAAGGACCGGGACAGGGGTAAAACGGAACCGATTTCCTAGATGGTTCCCAATTAAAAAATTATAAAAAAATGGACAACCCATTATGATAACAAAAATTACATGCAAAAAATTGAGTGTGTGAGGTCCATTAAGCAATACCATACATATTATGTCATTCAAGCATGTGACTCATATGACCTGAAAATGAAACCATTCTAGCCACTGGTTTTTTGGTCAATGGTTTGATTGTTCGGTTCAAACTGATGGTTCTAACAATAAAAATTAAAAAAATAAAAAAATGACCAAAAACCATTGAACAAGTCAATGGGTCGATGGTTCGACCACCCGGGTCAATGGGTCGTTAACCAATTCAATGGTTTTTGGCCAGGGACCGAGATTAGGATAAAATGAAACTGGTTGCCTAGATGGTTCCATTTAAAAACATAAAAATATGGCTAAAAACCATTGAACGGGTTAACGGTTCGACCACTCAAGTTAATGGTCGTTGACCGATTCAACGGTTTTTGGACAGGGACTAGGATTGGGGTAAAATTGAACCAGTTTCGTAGACGGTTCCCAAGCCAAAATGTCCATCCATCCGGGTCAATAGTGGTTCGAAAACCATGGCTTTTATGCTTTTGGATTTTCACTATTCAAAGGTTTCTTCTGCTATGGGCTTTATTCGAATGTGTGGTATATTCCTTTTTTTTTTCATTTTCTGCTTTTTTTTGTGTGTTTGGTCTTCTTCTTCAAGATCCTCCAAAATGGTCTAGGATTTTACCACCATTTTATTTATTTCCTTTTATTTTTATGAGTTTTCTTGTGCAATTTTTTTAATTTTCTTACAAGACGATCTGCTTTGTCTCTTTCTTTGATTGCATATATGTTGAGCTCCGTCTCAAAGCGGAACTTTAGACTCGATTTTCTATTTTTTTTCCTTGGTTTTTCCAGTTTGGTGGATTTACTGCCAATTTTTTTATGTGTTTAAGGTCACTTTGGATTTATCTTTCAAGGTTTTGGAATCCCTTGCAATGTTCACCCTTCCCATGACTATGACTATAAAGTTATTTCGTCTAATTATTGACACCTAGGAAAAACAACCCAGAAACGGAACCATTTTGGCCATCGGTTTACAGGTCGACAGTTTAACCGTAAAGTTTGAATGGATTGCCCGCTCTGACAACAAAAATTAAAAAAATAAAAAAATAATTAAAAATAAAAAATGGCCAAAAACCGTTGAATGGGTCGACGGGTCAACAGTTCAACTAACCGGGTCAATTGGTCGTTGACTGATTCAATGATTTTTGGACAGGGACTAGGTTTGGGGTAAAACATAACCGATTGCCTGGACAGTTCCCAGGTCAAACTGTCCGGGTCAACTGGGAGTTCTTGGTGTGAAACAAAGGACAACTATGAAGTAGAACTTAGAACTATCACTATATGATTGTGTTCTTTTATATGAGATGCTTTACTGAAGCAACATTTAAAAAACAAGTACATGATGATTTCTTTTAAGTCTTTATTGAGTTTCAAGACTTGAATACTTATAATAGCAAGTTTCTTAACAAGAAACCATTGTCTTTTTTAATATAGCAAATAACAATGTTACAGCTCCATTCCAGCCCCTACTTCGTAGGGGCCCCTCCACTAGTATATCTATTAAAGGGAAAGGGGTGGTCTCCCCTTTTCGCCAAATGGCAGCATTTCCCTTTATATATGAATTTTCCGATATAATAGCTAATGTTTTAATCGTTGGATAGGATGACCAATGTTGGTGAAGTGTTGGTGCAATGGCTGTTTATTTCAACCTTAGAGATGGAGGTTGTTCCTATTATGACTTTTGAGATGATGGCTTCGAGAAGGCCTATTGCTAGCTCGCCGGTCATGGTTCATATATAGAGGTGTAAAGTGGGCGATGGCGGACCGTGCCGCCCTCCCCGGTGGAAATTTTGGGGGTTGGCCCAGCAAGGCCCACGGCCTAGGCCCAAGCGGGCCCATGCCGTGGGCTTGGGTTGTGCCAAGCTAGGCCATAGGGCGGGTCTTGGGCCTAGGCCGAACCAAGCTAGACTGAATCACTAAATGGACTATGGATATCAGGAATTCAGGATACAAATAATAATGAATTTACGATTACCCAAAGAATAAATAAATAAAAGTATAAAACAATTCAAATAGGAATTTAAGAATTTTATTTCATTTAAATTTGAATGAATAATGATACAAATTACAAAGCATACAATTATACAAATATTGAAATTATGAAATATACAATGGTTGGATACTTCATAAATCATACTTCATACTTGGATGAATGAAATATGAAAATGGAATAAATTAATAAAATATAAAAAATGCAATATAGAATTATAGACTATAGTCTATATAGTTACAAATTGAAAATACAAAATTACATTAATAACAAATAAATTAAACAAAATTAAAACAAAATTTGCAATAATTTGACAAAATAAAATTGTGGGTTATTTGTTAAAATTTACAATTTAAACAAAATTTACATATACATTATGATGAAAGCATTCACACACTTTCATCATCTGCTTCAGGTGAAAAATGAAATATCCGGTGTATGTAGTAGTATCATACCCTCCTTTGTCTTATAATTGTAAAGTTGTAATCTATATTTGCATCATGATTCATGACTGCATCTAACCAACCCTGGTACAGTGGTAGTGTGGTACCTGCAGGTCCTGAACTAAAACAACTAAACAAGACTCTGATGAAATTGTAGCTTGTAGACACCGGAGGGGTTAGTAGATCACAGTCCACGAATCACGTGCCGTGGTGGGATTGGCTGTGAGAAATGTTCTCCAAGACTCCGACTTTTCCCAATATTTTTAAAATTTATTTTCCATCATTTCAAAAATTCATTTAAATTATGGGTTATTTCTTCTTCCTTCTCATGTGTGAGAAAATGTCTGGTCAAATGGCCAGTACCACCCTTGCTACAATAGTTAAAGTATTTTCTACATTTTTGGCAAACTGCTCTTTTTCCCTTTCCCTCAATATTATCTATTTTAAATATTCTCCAAATTAGGCTACTAAACTTGGGGTTTTGGGAAGAGCTGACCATTTTTTTTCAAATTCTAGAAAAATAAAATTAATTTAATTGGACTTACCCCGGATTGTCAGTTCAGAATTCCAACTTGATTTCAACGGTTAAAGCCTTTCAACGCGACAACGTCCAAGGCTCCAAGCCTCCCAAATTGCTAACTTGAAGAATCAGACAATCAACCAATCAGATTATGAGACTATCAGAGTTCACTCAGATTGTAGAGAATGTATGAGAGACTAAGAGTATGAGAGACAAAGAGAGTGAGAGACTGAGAGAGGAAAGCCTAAAGAGATTAAGAGAATAACTTAATAAGAGAATTGTTGAATGTTGATTGTTGGATTGGTGTGATGATTGATGAGAATGGTGGAGGACAGGGCTATTTATAAGAATTGGACATAATTCAATTGCCCATAATACCCAAAAAACTAGTTGCTATTTAGTTGTTGAGAGGGGTATTTTGGTCATTGTAAAGTTATTTATAACTTTATCCAAAAAGCCCCACAAACTAGTTGTTATATAACTGTTAAAGGGGCATTTATGTCATTTTTTAACCCCCTATAACCAAAATACACAAATACCCCCCTAATATGACTATTTATAGCTGTTGGGGGGGTATTTCTGTAATCCCCCCAAAAAAAAATAAAAAAAAGCTGAAGTCGTGCTGGCCCTTGGCCCAGCACAACACGAACCTCTATGCCAAGCCTGGCATGGCCCATGAGCCCATGACCCGACCCGATTTACACCTCTATTCATATACATTAATATTAGACCTCGGCATTGAGGAGCACAACCTGATCCATGAGAAGTTGGAATCGCTGTGAGGAGGATGTGGCTTGACTCCCATTGAATGTGAACTGTGAAGCGATGAGGTTTGTAACGTCTTTCTACGTCAGTTTGCATTATTAAAGGTAGGCATCATGTGGCTGAGCATTAAACGAGGAGGTATGCTCTAACTGAGGCACTAAGCTCATAATGCATGGTTAGAGGCGAGCCTCTCATTAAGTCTTATTGGTGAAATATCATAAATGCCCCACGGGGCCTGTGAAAAGATGAGATTATCGAACAGGTAATACCAATTTTTGCAATTCATGGTTTGGTTCTTCAATTTTTTCGATTATATATATATATAATATAACTAACTTAATAGATTAATCGCATTTTTCCATTTGATTAAATTTTCGATTTCACGTGTCAAGACTTGCTCGGACCGAAATATATATTATAGGCCTTAGAGTATTGGGCCCAGCCCGGGCTGAGAATGATCACCCTGTCCTACTCCTACCGAGATGGATAAACTATGATTTTCTTTCAAAGTCAATTAGATAAAAACAAAAATCCAAACTGTTCTCTTTTCTGGTAAACAAATCCAACGGTTCTGATCCTAAGCCTATTGCCTTTGGTAGGACCCATTTCATATAGTATGCACCCTATGCTTTCTTGCCACGTTTTCGTAGTACACTTGTCTGTCGTCGATACCCTAAACTTTAAAGGAACACAGCTCAGAATTTCTCGAGTCACCTTCGATCCTTGGACGGGTTGCTCGGAGTCCATCGTTCCCAGATCAAGATCAAATTTTCTGTGAAAACTTCTCGAAGAATCAGGTACCATCACGAACCTCATTATCTCTCTCTCTCTCTCTGCGAAATCCTTATGCATAAAATTTGCAGAATTGTAAACTTTTTGGATTGGCAATTTCGAGAATCACAGATTTGAGCAGGTCGAGATCTTAGACGAACTGGTTAATCAGAGAAATAGTTTCAGATCTAGGTTTAAAATATTTTAAAATCGTTATTTTTGGTAAAATCTCTGTATAATTAGAAGCATTTTGGATAAGAAACAGGCAATGCGCCTTCAGAAATTTACAGAAAATGCTTTCCTAAGATTGTAGAAGGTTTAGATTGTCTCGAATCGTAGAGGATTTACATCTTTAATCATTTTTTCTAGTAAGGTGAATAATGATTTTCTTTATTTTTCCCTGTTTGGAATTTCTGTTTAAATTTTCTGAGTTACAAGTTTGCATCTTCTTTTCTGGCTAGACATTTAATCGTCAAGATGTCGGGCCAAAGTCAGCGCCTGAATGTAGTTCCCACTGTTACGATGCTCGGAATCATGAAGGCTCGCCTTGTTGGCGCCACGAGAGGTCATGCCCTCCTCAAGAAGAAAAGTGATGCCTTGACTGTGCAGTTCCGAGCGATCCTCAAGAAGATCGTCTCTACTAAAGAATCCATGGGTGAGATCATGAAATCTTCCGCCTTTGCATTAACTGAAGCTAAATACGTTGCTGGAGAGAACATTAAGCACATTGTTCTTGAGAATGTCCAGAATGCTTCCCTGAAAGTTCGATCCCGTCAGGAGAATGTTGCTGGTGTGAAGCTCCCCAAGTTTGAGTACTTCACTGAAGGCGAGACCAAGAATGATCTAACTGGGCTGGCTCGAGGTGGCCAACAGGTCCAGCAATGTCGTGCTGCTTATGTGAAAGCAATTGAGGTCCTTGTCGAGCTTGCATCACTGCAAACATCGTTCTTGACTCTTGATGAGGCAATCAAGACCACAAATCGCAGGGTTAATGCTCTTGAGAATGTTGTGAAGCCGAGGATGGAGAATACAATAACTTATATCAAGGGAGAGTTGGATGAACTTGAAAGAGAGGATTTCTTTAGACTGAAGAAGATACAGGGGTACAAGAAAAGGGAGATTGAGAAGCAGATGGCAGCAGCTAAGCAGTATGCAGAGGAACAGGTTGCAGAGAAAGTTTCGTTGAAGAAAGGGATTTCAATAAATTCTGCACACAACTTGTTGTCAAAAACGGTGGAGAAGGATGAGGATATAATTTTCTGATCCGGAGGTTAGTTTCTTTCTTTTTTTGGCTCTTCGGTTTGTTCAGGAAGAGTTTATTTTTATGATTTTGATAGGTAATACTATTGTTTGAATAAGTGTTTGATGTTTGTCTTCGTCTGTCTAATACCTTTTTGTACAGTAATTCTTAAACTTCAGAAAAGAGACTGGTTAATTGTAACAATAATATTTTTCTTGTCTTACATCATTTATAGAATTTGATTTAGTAACAGAAACCACTTTTGAAGCTTGAGGGATTTCAGTGGACATTGGAGCTTAATAATTATCAAAATCAATGACTGGAGAAGGATAAGTGGAATATGAATTTATCAAATAGGGTCTCCTGTGTGCTTGACTAAAATTGACCATTTCTTAAAATATGTTCTCAAAGCAAGGAAAATTTTATTACCATTTCATTTTTCAAACTATGTTACCATTCCGCTTATTTCTTTTATTGGTATATATTTGTTGTTCAAGACTTTTTTAAGACAATTCATTCTGTTTAGTCTAGCAAGAGATGCCACTATGGCACGAGGAGGGAGGTCCAAAAATTGGGATTTGCCTTAGTATAGACCAGTATTCCTATGACTCAATCCCTTTTCTTATGCTTCCCATATTACTTTTGGGGCACAGGCCAGATTTACATTCTTCGATTGTTGTGCACAATTTTATACAAGGTTGTCATTGTTTTATCTTCCATGGAGCATAGTTCACTTTAATCCTTGGTTTTTCAGGCAAGTGCATGATGCATCATCCTTTATTGAAATAGCTTTAAGGCACAGTTAGAAACCGGAGATTCATTTACAGCATGGTCCAAAGTATTAATACTCTCAATATGCAAAATTTGCGTATCGAGAGTTTTGGCTCAACAAAATTGTTACTTTGTTTTTTTTTTCTCCTTTGACAATTGACAGGAGACCTGTCAAATCATATACTAAAGTATTATAAACTTGAAATATTAAAATCCTTTATAACTGGTGTTTTGGTGACCAAAAGTATCGTAATGATACTTTGATCCTTCATTTGCAGAGAAATTGATAACACCCTTCAAACCCATCACAGACCACACCCCACTTGAGTTGAGGCTCATTAAAACCTTGGACAAAGCTGACAAATTTTGCCAAAGCCATTCCAATCATCCTCCCATTTCTATTCCTTGCTCATTTCATTTATATGCCCTGCAATTAGTCATTGAGCTAGCTTTTTGATGATGAGCACATGATGCATTGCAACAAATCAATATGTAATCCAACAAGAGTTGCAAGGATTGCTTTCAAATTCTAATTTAAATGGATCAATTATGAAGTTTAGAAATATTATGTCATTGTCTTCTTTTTGGCTTAATCTGATACACAGAAACAATTTGATCCAATTTTTCATTTTTGGTGTTATTCTTCCACATTGAATTTTAATTTTAGTGTCTAATGTGCCAAGTGCAGGTAAATATGGGGAAAAATTTGGATTTAATTGAAGGAGAAAAATAAATCAGCTTGCTTTGTTTTTGAAATTTGGGCTTCTTTCCAACAGGAAGAGATGTTATTTATTTACAGAGGTGCAATCTGATTGAAAAGAGTTCGCTAAACTAAACTAAGTGCCCACGTTCATAAGTTAGTCTTCTGAAGTTCTGGACTTGCTTCTGGTCAATTTGTCTGCTTATCTTCTAAGAAGAACCTATCTCTGGGAGGTGGTTGTACCTTAGTGCCCAGAATTGCCTGGGTGTGGTCATGTTTCATATCAAAATCATAATTCAAGCCATTTCATTTTGGATAGAAAACAAACTTAAACCATGCTTTGTAACTATTTGAAATGCAATTCCAGATAAAAGAAGGCTATTTTTCAAAGTCATCCATCTTGCAACTGCACCCCCTCCCCCCACAATGCATACAGGCCCCACATGCCACCTTTATTTAGAGAGTTGCATAGTGTATACTATAACATTGTGGTAATAGAGAATCTTTTAATAATATAGTTTGATGTTTAAATTCTATTTACATACAAAATACAAGGTTTTGCACAATACATATTTGTATTTGTACTCCTTTCAAACTGAGCCTACGTAAATAGAAGCCAACAATACGTAACAAAGGACAATGAGGGATGGAAAGTCAGCTAAGTGGTTATGTAAATGCTTTTTTTTTTTTTTTGAGAATATGTAGATGTTTTTTTTTGTGAATAATAATTTTGCTATTTTTAATGAAATTAAAGTGTTACATGATAAAAACCATTAATCAGATGTAACCCCATGGATATGATTAACAACAGTTGACCATCCACTTGAACCCTTCAAATAATTTGTTACATGATAAAAACCAATAATTTGTTACATCTGCTAATCCATTGGCCCCTTGTTATGAAATGTGTTTTTTCTTGCCTATTCTGCGTAGGCTGTACTCTTTTTTTTTTTCCTACTTGGAATTAATATGGTATATTCACTCCCTGCTACTAAGCCCTTCATAGCAGGATTTCTTTCCACCTTCACTTTTTTCTTAATAAAATTTCTTGGTCATTGTTACTGATAAAAAAATAATTAAGAAGGACAATAAAAATCTCTTATTTTGTTTTGAACCTATGATAGTTGAAGTACTTTCTAATAAATCAGTATGTAAGTTTGTTGGGCATTTACACACACACGCGCTATAATATATGCATGCACATACACATGCATACGTGTGTTTCAATGCCACTCCAAAAGTCTCGAGCAAATTTGAAGCTCTGTACACCGTACTTTCTGCTTCTGCACCCGCTCCCGTTCAAGCTTTCCATGATTTGGGTACTAGGATTATACTGTGTTTTATAGGTAAACTGGACAACAGAAATGACCTGTAAATGGAAAAGAGTAGAGATACTAGGATTGCCTTATTCATTGCATTCTTTTCATTGGTTACTTTACACTGTTACTGACGAGGAGAGTGGAAAAAAAAATCATCTTAAGTTTCCTAGCTTAAATTTTCATAGTAGCACGTGGGTAACAAGATTTCTAATTGAAGAAGTGAGAGCTCTTTTTACAAACCTAAATTGTTTGTTCAGGTGGCCTCCTAGAATTGCAAGCAGTTTATCAAACTCACTAGCAAGAGCGGGTGTTACAAAGAATAATTCCATGTGAGTAACCCAGGACAACGAGATTTGTAGACAAACAAATTTATAAGAAAATATCAGCAATATGCTGCTTCTTTCTACCCTACCACCCTATATTGTGGATAGTAGGGATTGTCTTAATCATCTCAATTTTTTTTTTTGTACTGTTAATTATCAAAGAAGGATTTCAATATCAGTGCTTGAAGTAAACAAGATTTTTGTTTATGGTCTCATTGCCTTGAGTTGAAAGAGGAAAGGAGAACCCTTGGGTTTGAGCCCTAAATTGAAAGGAAATAGATTCTGAGAAATCAGGGGAAGAGATGATCCTACTGCTTCAAGATATCATATCAGTAGCATGGACCAAGGTCATTTACAAAGTAAATACTTGCTTTTGGCTCTTTTGAGTTGCAGGGGTGGTTTGTCATATTTACACAGTGAGTGAAAACTTTTAAAGTTGTAGATCAAAAAGGACTTAAAATGTTCATCACCTCTTCTTAGTTGTTACTCCAATAACCATTAAAAGAACCTCTTTGGCTGCATTTCTCTGTTTGAATTCTTTAAACTAAATTGATCAGTCCTAGTAGGGGATTATAGAAATCTGGACTGGTTAGTGAAAAATGTTGGAATTGCCAATTTAGGGAAATCTCTTAAGCTACCCCTCAGTTTTAGGAAACAGACTTGTATTACCCTACTGTTTGCAAAATCCCTTAAAGTACCCCTGGATTTTCTGACAATTGACTAATTCTGCCCCTACAGTTAGTATGCCATCACATTCTGTCCATAACTGATAGTACATGATTATTGTAACTTTTATAAAACCCAATTTTGCCCTTTGTTTATCAACAACAAAACAAGGAAAACTTTGCAGGTCAAACAAAGAGTACTGGATGTTTTCCCTGAATGAGTTGCCAAGTTTTGTACAATAGATTTTTAGCTGATATTGATGGCTAATGTTATAAGTTGCTGAAAACTTTATGACAAGGATCAGGTCCAGTCTTGGGCTATGGATCATGAGGGGCTTGTTGCTCTTTATGTAATCAATTGTTTGCCATCGATGAATTCTACTGAAACTAATCTTATCCTTCTAATGCAAATAGATGGGAGTGAAAATTCTGATTGACTTTTACTTTGCTTGAGGTTTTATTTATTTCATGTTACAAGTCAAATAGAGCTAGAAGATCTAGGAGCAGACCAAAAAAGGATATGGGTTGAAGTAGTAAAAAATGATTTAAGGCTCAAAATTTAAAAATGGATCATATGGCACTAAACGGAGCAGAACAAACAACATGATTCATGTGTTGACACCATATAGTACAGTTGGGACAAGGCTTAGGTGGCGTTTGATAACACTTTCCAGATGCCAAAAAACTTGATTTTTAAACATGCAACCCAATTGTGTTTAGATTCAAACACAGACTCTAATAAGATAAAATAGATTTGAAATGGTAAGATATAGTTCAGTTGTTTAACATAGACACATTTTAGAGCTTGGACAATATTGCCTCTAAAACTTTTCAAAATGGCTCATATTGCCCCTTCCTTTAACACAAGGCTTGTGTCTTCTCCAACAAGCATTGTGGTCATTGGCGGTGATGGTGGCCTTCTATAACATTTGGAGGTTGAGGAGGACCAATAATGTTGCTATATTTCATCATTAGAGGAGGCCAAAGAAGAGTAAGGAGAGAGAGAGAGAGAAAAGTTCCTATTACCGGTTTGGTGTAAATGGCTACAATGATGGGGGGAGGAGAGGAGGACACACACAGATAGATAGATAGAGGGGGTGAACTGGGTTTTATAAGTTTCTTCCCAAACTATTGCTTTTTCAAAAAGGATGCAATACAATATGACTCAAAGCAATAATTTGAAATGTAGAAAATACAAAGCTAATAAGATTTAGATTGAATGTTAGCAAGAAATAAGAAGAAATAAGAACAGAAAAAAAATCTAAGCCAAATGGGTGAAGTCATGATGTTATAGTTAAATAATAAAAAATTTAAAATATATAAATTACAAAAATTATAAAAATTGTTTAGAAAACGTATGGGCATATTTTTCTCATATTATATATCCATCATATTAAACAAATGTGTGATATAAAATAATAATAATAATAATAATAATAATAATAATAATAATAATAATTGTTATTGTAATCTAAATTTGGCATGTGCGCATTTACTAGTATTAGTAAATACACCATAGTTGAACTCCTGTTTTTATTGTTGTAAAATGTGATGATTTTTTATGAAATTTTTCAAATACCTTCCATTTTGACATTTGAATAAGAAATCCTTATTCATAAAAAAATAAGAACTCCTAGGATTAAGAGAATTACAATTCAACAACTCTTCAAGTTTTTTTTTTCTTTTTTTTTTCAGAATTTCTGTTCCATCGAACTTCAAATTTAACTTTTGGCAGCTCTTCTTGAGAATCAGTCATCCCCCATTGTAATTTAAGGAGCTTGAATGCAATCTTCCCTTTGATATAAATTTTCTTTTCAACATATTATTTATTCCTACCTGAAGATATGTAGATGTTAGAGCACGAGTTACCAGTAATTCACAAGCTGAGTTTGTAGTTTGTACTGTAAAATGTTGGAAGCCATCCGACTGCGACCTGGATCATATCCCAGCTCCCAGGGACTCATGATTCTAGGGATTTCCAAACACTCTATGCTTCTTGCTTCAAGAGAATCTATTATGTCTCAGAAGTTCCTCAGGGCTTAAGAGGCCCGCTTTTCCAAATGAATCATGTTCAGCCAAACTCATTCCCAGATACCACAACTTACAAGTCTCGATTCAAAACTACAGAAACTCCTATCATAAAAATAATAAGAAATAAGAAATTTTTTACTCCCAAAGCCAGAATAAGCTGGGAAGAAAATTCCCGGAATCACGTCCATCTTGACATAATCTGGAACTGTTATCCTTGAAAATCGTGCTCAAAGCGAGCCTCGGAAGTGTTGCTAATACCTTCACAGTTTTCATGTTGATCAGTCCTCTAATTGCTACTTCAAATACAAAAAATAGGTTTTCTTAAACAAATTTTTCATTATGAAAACCCCAAATCATCAATTCAAGTTCACCACATACACTACTTTCATATGAAACAGCACATCCATCCAATGTATTGTAACTCGCAACACATTAGACTTTAAGGTTATGTTTGATTTGAAGGAAAAAGTACGAAAAGGAAGGGACCTGAGCCCAAACTGAGTTAGGCTGCAATTTTATAAAGGATGGGCTTGGACTTTTGGTCTTCGAGCTGAACCTAGGCCCAAAGGTTTGGGCTTTTAAATACATATGTCAATTTTTAGTACGGATTAATTGATCAACCCAAACCGGGATCGGGCCCAAACCCAACCCCAGTAAATTAAATTTTAGTGCGAACTAGGCTCAGGTTGAATAGTTCAGGCTTTTACCTTATGTTTGGGCTTTAGACCCAATTCTTAGGTTAGATCTAAGCCCAGCCCAGCCTGCCCAACTTGCACCCCTATTAGAGTTGGGGTCTTTGAAGAATCATAATAGCTTGAGTCGCAGCACGTTGGTTTGGCAGGAAAACATCGGAAAAGAGAACAGTCTCAAGATTTCACGGTTTCCCCCAGTGTTAGATTCAACAGGGGAAAAATTACTTAGAGTTAAGAAAATCACTAAAGAACTTAAATTTTTACAGGAAGTTGCTTTCAAAATGTAAAAATAAATAAGACCTAGGGATGCTATTAGAATCATTTGACCAAAAGACATGGTTGGTAGGATGCTTTGGCGTGTCCCATCCGGATGGCCCCTTTTTTACAGGACCTAATTTGAAGTTTCTTCGAGGTAGAACCTTTATTTTTCAAGTTGCTTTCACACCAATAAGATAAAAGACTGTTTGGATAAGCATTTGCTTTTGAGCTTTGGCATGTAGAAAACAAAATTGAACAAAAAAAAAGTTTTTGAGTGTTTGGTAAGAGTTGCTTTTAAAAACATTTTAATATGAAGCTAAAACACTTTTAAGCCCCAAGAAACAAATCCTAAAAATGGGCTTTGTGCTATTAGACTTTGAAAGCTCAAATCCTGAGGCTTATCCAAACACAACCTGAATTTCTAGGAAAAAAAATGAAAATAAAACATTTTATACATATAACCTAACAAAACAAAAGAAACCTGGTGGCGCAATAGGATTATCTGCAAGCAAAAATTCTGCACACTGGAAGCATGGGAATCCAGCATACATGTATGGGAGATGTTCCCAATGTGCGGCTGGATGCTATGTGCACAAAGTATTTGCTTTCAAGAGATCCGGGCTCCCTGATGGTAATGCCAGTAACAGAAAAATCATGGAACCGAATACATGCATTTCTGGGTGCCAAGCTAGCAACGTGTAATAGGAATAGAAGTATAAACTATCGGGGTGGGGGGAAAGCACGGTTACACATACAACACAACCCTTTTTTTTTCTACACTGGATGGAGACGGAGGAAATCACATGTAAAAACAACATAAGCCAAGAATGTACTGGAAAGCAGCTCTTTCCCAACGAAAACCAAAAATGGAATTATTGTATGAGATCAAAACACAAATACCATATGGGGTTGGTTCCCTTGGTACTTGGCAGCAATGCTAGCAATAATGAAGCAGGCTGCTATGGTCTTGGTAATGGCCTGGTTACTCTGGAACTAGAAGCAGATTCTCTTCCAATAATACCACCTGGTTTAATTGTGCGAGAAACCCTGCAGGAAAAGTAAGCAATTCTTAACGAGACAGAGAGAATATAAAGAACAATCTGAACCATGCCCATCAACAATAGATAAATAGGGGACAGCTGGAGTTCTTACCCTTGATTCCTTTGCAAGGCGTTTTTCCTCATAGCTGCATGAACTTTCATCTCGTGACTGTAAAAGGATTAGAAGATAAGTGAATAAACCAATAGCTTGAGGCGTCTACCACAACAAAACCCAAACAGAGTATTCAACCATGCCCTAGACAAATGTTCAAAAAGACAATAGGAAGGGAGAGACACCTTCCAGCCTAATTTAATAATTTCATGTCACCCCATCATGGCATCTGCTATCAGGCATTCTTTAAGCAATAAAAAATCTCCAAAGTATTTTGGTAAATCTAACGGAGATTGTTAAATCATATTAAGTAAGTATTCGTTCTCAAAGATACCTTGTGCAAGAACAAGGCTAATGGCTTTTACCTCATCTTATTAGAGCATATTACCTGTTAAGGAACTCCAATTTTGCTTTTTTCATCAGGTTACCCTTCAAATTGGAAACACTACTGGAAGATCCACTACCTGCCAAGGATCACCAAGGTAAATCAAGTAAACACTAAATACTAAGCAAAGATGCATCCTCTTTAATAAGGGTGCCTCTTTGAGGTGCTTTGCATATGGATGTATGCCTGTATCTGAATACAGCATTGAAAATTTATAGAATCACAAATGTAAAGCAATTGAAAGAAATGGAAGAATTACCCCAATTGAAATTTCGTTTATTACTTGAAGGTGGAACCTTTGTACAAATCTGAATTTGCCGACTTTGTTTTCCTATAACAAAATAGTCTTGATTGAATGCTCAATATCCTATAGTTTAAAATATATAAATAAACCAGTTCCTATACAGTGTTCTCTCCTATCATGATTAATGCAAGTATAGCTTAATAATTGTAAATCCATCTTGCAGAAAAATAAAAAAAAAAATGAAATGAGCAAACTATTAACATTTGCATTGGCACAAGATTATTGATCCTTAATACAAAGTTCATCATCCTCCCAAAAGAGTCATTGAGAAATTCTAGTTGTAAATAACTCATTGGATTCAGTTATAATGTACTATAGAAAGCTCTCAGAAAGCCATAAGGTGTGCAGTAGTGGCATAGGAGTAATAAGAAATAAAGTAACTATCATGCTGAAAACAGTAAATAAAATAGAGGGTTTAGATGGGCATAAAACATAATATCTTGCAAGCTAATGTCAAATGGGTTCAGGTTCATCTGTTGGATGTGACATATATCAAGGAATACAATTGTCGTTGGGGTACCATAGATTCAGCTAAGATGGTTGTGAGTATAGGAGCATACATAAGCAGCTAAGCACATTATCCACTTAACAATAAAGCAAGCATATTGTATTTTAATAACCTAGGTTCAACTGTACTGATCCGACAAAGGATCTTCAATACAATGAAAAACTTCAAAATGTATATAAAAGTCTATACTGCATAATATGGATGTTGATAATTTCACATATTCAAATTTCAGATTTTAGTTGCAGTATTTCTGATACATCTGATCTGCATAGCTTTTCATACAGTTTTGGGGAGCTCCTCACCCCCCTTCACATCTATATTAATACAATACTTTTTACCGCTTATCAAAATAAAACAATATCACTGATCAGAAAAGAAAAAAGAAACAATATCAACTGCTAACCTGTGGTGTTACAATTAAGTGGCACATACCCAATGCATGAAAATCTAGAATAGAAACATGGGTACAGATTTGGTGAATCTGACACATCCCATGCCAACAACTTCTTGAACGATGTGGAAAGTGTGGGTAAATGAATGGTCCAGGTATCTTGAATTGAAAGATCCTTGAAGTTGCCTTCAGTCCTAAACCTTTAAACTCCAGAAATTGGACCACTCATTTGACAATTGGAGAAAAACCTTTTTCTATATTCAAATCCTAATTTTATGATATTAAAAAAAATAGCTTTTTCATGACACATACCACACCAAATTGGAGAAAAGGGTAAAGATACTCTTTGAAAAGTTAGTAAATGACCAGATGATGCATATTCAAAGGTAATTATATCATCAGCACCAGCTGTGCATCTTCTTAGCAACCAACTGTCCTACTAAAAACAAATGACATAATGCATGAATTCAGAATTCAATAACAACAATTTACATGAGCAATGCTGGACATAATGGTCATGATAGCTTTGAGTATATGTTACTGTTAAAATAAGTTAACAGATGTAAATTTGAAGTTTATTTAGATAAATAGGTAGAAGTTGAATTTAAATAAAACCATGCACCTAAATAATTAAAGAAAAGAAGTAGGTAGCTGGAAGTGAACTTGCACATGGGTTTTATAATAGCAGCTCAGTAGTTTGGATGTGTTAAAGTGAGCCGAATAGGGGTAGTTTAGTCATCTTATGTTTGTTAAGTAGTTTGCTTATGTGGCAGTTTTATTAGAGACACTCTGCCCCACACTTAAGTAAGGGTAGTTTAGTCTTTGTAAAGGTCATTGGAATCTAATAAAGATTAAGGGGGTCGACTGTATGGGTGTCCATCAGATTTCGACAGACCCTTATTTTCTTTCTTCTTCTTCTCTTCTTCTTCCTCTTCTTCTTCCTTCTCTTCCTGATTCGGGTTACTGTAGCAGCATTCGAAACATGGTATCAGGGCCATGTTCCTGACCTACTTCAGTTGGTAAAGCACCTCAGCAATGTTCGTGACTCTTCTTCCTTCGTTTCTGATCAGTCAATGGAGAGAACTGGTTCGCCCTAGGTCTGAATCATCACAGCTCGTCTCTCTCTGCTGCACATAATCTTCTTCATCAAGAAAAGTGACTTCAACAGTGAATGGTTGGTTGAGACTCTCAAAGGAAGGTCGGTTATCTCTTCTTGTGTTGCTGGTATTTCTGGGTAGAAACCCTTCAAGAAGCTGTTAGTACTAATCAGAACCTAGAGAACTAGGTTCATTGTTGCCCTAGAACGGGCAGTGTGTACAGTAGCCGAATGGTGTAGGGGCTGCTGTAAGTGGCCGAGTGGTGTAAGGTGTAATGCTGTGACATAGCTGAGTTTTTGTGGTTGTGTAGTGYCCTCTTAAAAATGTTAAACTAKTCTGAACTGGGTGTAACAGGTTTGACTATGTTGTGGTGCTTGTGTTGCACAATCCTTATTGAGTGGTTGTAAGAGGACTTACATGTGATTAGTGAGTGTTAATTGATGCTTATGTGGTTCGTGGTGTTGTGAAATCAGCAGTAGTGTGAATAAGAACAAGGCGTGGGTACCCACTATTGTGTTTAGGGGTTGCTATAGGTGCTGAAACATCAAATTTTGAATTATAGCAGTCAGCTTGTTGTTGAGAATTCAGGTTAGAGGCAACTGTGAAAGAGTGCAATGGCAGCAATAGGAGATGAATTTAATGATCAGAAACCTAGTGTGGTGGTTTCCCCTGACTACCTAGGTGTATAGATGACCTCAATTAAACTGAATGGGGAGAACTATGTTCCATGGGCTAAATCAGTGGAAGTTTTCCTCAAGGCAAAGAGGAAAGTGAAGCACATAAAAGATGAGAAGCCACCGGCTAACTCTCCAGGGTTTGATGATTGGGAACAA